ATATAGTCAATTGAACATAGCTAGACGGACAATATGATAAAATCCACAATATTTGCGGAATCCTTGAATTAATAAGAAGGCGGCATAAAGGGCAGATAGCGCGCCTGCCCGAGGGTTAAATCATTATAATTTGTAAACAGTTAAAATATTTCTAGTGTGTTTTTATCTATTCCCATTCAATCAGCTTGGTGTTTCATTAATGAAGTGAACTTGATATCTTTTGTGTGTGTTTGTGTTGTCTTCTGATTGGTCCAATGGTTACTTCGCAGTTAAGTATAAAAAACATGATACTGGTTTTCTTCAAGGGAATTGAGTTCTAAAAAGGTCGCTTCTCTGGCAGACCGTTGTGCAGGCAAGTCGATTTTAAGTTTCTAATTTTTTTTTCTTCTCCAGATTTCTATATTTTTCTTAATATTTTTGAATTTATTTCACCATCAGTGTCTACTATCACTGTTGGGTTTTTATTACCTGATATCTTATCTTATATACCTTTGAAATATAAATATTATATTTTAATTTTTTTCATCTATTGTGAACCTACATTTTTCTGAGGAGAGTCAATTCAAAGTTTTGGCTGATAAATTGGTATTGCTGCTTTGGTATTTGGATCTTATTATTAGTGTGGGATTATTGGACCATTATCTCTAGATAGACTAGGTGTCAGCCAAATTTGTGTGTCCAACTCTATCAACACGTTACTGAATCCAGGCAGAAACCTATCTAGCCATTTATTGTTTGACTCCCCCATTATCGTCTCAAGAATCTATTTGGGGAAAATCTAGGGGTTCATATAATTTTTTTATCTTGTTCGATTTTGCCTATATATAAGTATATTTTTTTTTTGCCTGTTCAGCGCCGCTGCTTGAGAAGCAGCATGCTGCACAATGTTAACGAGCATCTATTTTTAATCTTGCTGTACTTACTTACCTACCTAATTATTGCTTCTTTATTTTACATATTTTATTTTATTTTATTTTTTTAATTATTTGATAGTGTTTCTGTAAGAATATTTTTCCAATTTGCAATGATTGCTCATACCTGATTCTGTTAGAAAGGAGAGAAAAACATGGCGCAGTCATAAAGAAAAGTGATCTGAAGCTCTCGCGAAATGGATTTGAAACCTCCAAACTTTAAAGCAGATGAAGCCAATTCAGCTAACATCTGGCCAAAGTTTAGGCAGGCCTAGACATTTTCAACACACTGGAATTTAAATCAAATGAAGTGGACAAATTTGAAGTTCTTATTGTTAAATTTAATGACTATTTTGTGCCAAAAATTAGCGTAACTTATGAAAGGCACAATTTTTTTATGAGAAATTAAAAAACCGGAGAACATTCTGAAAATTACGTGACCGAGCTAAAATCTCTATCCAACTCATGTGATTTTAGTAAATTAAAAGAGTCACTGATAAGAGATTGCTTGATTTGTGGGATTGAGCATTCCAAATTGAGAGAAAAACTTCTGACAGAACCTAATTTACCTCTGAGTAAGTGCATCGAGCTGTGCTCGTTACCGAGAGTCAAGTGAAAGAAATAGCAATGGAGTCATTTGCTTTAAGCAAAGTTGGCCAGAAAAGGCTGGGGTCAGTGCACGACACACAGACTCAAGAAACCATAGAAAAGGAAAAAACCATAAAAGAATGTACAAGATGTGGATATACAGACAAGGTAAATAAATGCCCAGCATACAATCAAACGTGTAGAAAATGTAACAAAATAAATCATTTTGCTAAAAATGTGCAAGCTAAAGCAAGTAAAGGAAATCAGCACTCAAGACATCACCAATAATGAAGACTCAGATAAAGAAACAACAATTTTTATTGGTTCAGTGAATGGGGCCAGTAGAGTAGTTGAAGAGTGGACTGAAGTAGTTCAAGTCAGCAACGCACCCAAGGTATATAATAAATTTGTTAGAGTGGCCCAAGCTAGCATAATTCCCAAAGCTATATTTGAACAAATTCCTAGAGCCAAATTATTTGCATCAAATAATAAATTAATAAATTACAATGGAACTAGCATTGGAAATTTGGGCAAATGTTCTCTGGATTGCATTGTCTCAAATAAACGAATGGCTAACTTAGACTTTCTTGTCGTAGATACTGTAAATAGTCCACCAATTTTAGGATTGGAACATTGTAAAAAGTTTGGGTTAATCAAAAGAATTAATTATGTGTGTTTAAATGATGTTTTGTCACAATATCAGGATCTATTCACAGGTATTGGTTGCCTAAAACAAGAGCATGCCATTATTTTGAAAGAAAACGCTGCACCAGTTGCATTCAATGCTCGTAAAATTCCACTATCTATTGAAGAGGAAGTACGAGCTGAATTAAACAGGCTAGAGAAATTAAAAATAATTGAAAAAGTGTCTGAGCCTACAAAATGGGTTCATCCATTGGTTACTGTCAGAAAGCCAAATGGCAAAATTAGGTTATGCCTAGATCCTAAAAACTTAAATCAGGTTATTAAGAGGGAATATTATCAAATTCCCACAATAGAAGAAATGCTAGCTCAATTGTCAGGAACCACAGTTTTTAGCTTGCTCGATGCAAATCAAGGCTTTTACCAGATACCTCTGAATAAATCTAGTAAAAAACTGTGTACTTTCGCAAAACCTTTTGGCAGATATATGTTGTCTAGGCTGCCATTTGGTATAGCTTCAGCACCAGAAGTGTTTCAAAAGCAATTCAAACAAATTTTTGAGAGGTTAAACGGTCAAGTGTCCTATATAGATGACTTGTTAGTTTTTGGTAGAACCCAGGAAGAACATGATCAAAATTTATTAGCAGTGCTGAATAGAGCTAGAAGTGAGAGTGTAAAATTTAACAAAACTAAATGTAAATTTAATGTCAACGAAATAAAATTTGTAGGGCATGTAATAAGTAGTAAAGGAGTAAAAGTTGACGAAGACAAAATTGAAAGCATAATAAGAAATTTATTGAGACTGGACATTTGGAAAAATTAGATAGTAGACACACAATTGATCTTCCGGATCGGATAATGGAACCAATTACAGCTCTGTAGAATTTAAAGATTTTGTTAATTCCTGGAAGATTCAGCACGTGACATCAAGTCCAACGCACGCTCAATCGAATGGCATGGTCGAGAGGTGCATTCAGACTTTCAAAAATATCATGAAAAAAGCCGAATTTGATAAGAAAGATCCGTACCTTTGTCTTCTAGAATACCGAAACACACCCATCGATCATGACATTCCATCGCCAGCTACTCTATTGTTTAATAGGAAAGTTAAGAGCCTTTTGCCCGAATTTATTATTTTTTGCAGAAAAGATAATTCTTATGTTAATAAGTTTGAAATTAGACAATATAAACAAAAGTTGAATTTTGATTTACATGCAAGAAATTTACCAGAACTTAGTGATGGTGGAGGGGTAAGAGTGCCAAGATTGGATAAATCCGAATGGACACCAGGTAATGTTATAAGAAGATTGGAAAAACCGAGGACTTATAAACAGAAAATACCTTATTAAAGATTGTGTAAACAAAGAAGTCCCTGAACTAAAGAGTAAACCAAAGACTCTTGAACCGAAACGTGACGTACGTCAGCCACATAAATTGTCTGATTACGTATCTTCAACTTATAAATTATGTTTTGTAAAAAAAAAGTGTCTGGTTGTTACCTAGCAGGTACTTTCTATTCTCTAGTGCATAGAAAGTACCTGCTAGGTAACAACCAGACGTTTACCAGTCAGTCCATAATTTGTCCCTAAATAATATTTAACTTAAGATCTTAGATTTTGTGAACTAGCTTAAGTTAAGCTTAAAGAAAGAGATGTAGTATGATTGTAGTCAGTCAGACAGTTGTCACCATTTTAGTCAAATAAATTTAAGTCGTATGGAACAACTTAACCTCCGTCTTCCTACGTCAGAAAAAAAAATACGTAGATTCCCACGTGGGGTATATTCGCACCCTATGATAAAAATGATACTTCTGATTATTGAACATGATTTTATTTATACTAAACAGTTATAATAGATAAAATTAACCCATAGAGTACAGTAAGCGGAAAAAAATAGTTAGGAAATGATGTTTTCGACCAATGCCTGCCAACTTTCGATTTATAAATCATTTTTCCGCATTCTACTTTTCGTAAACTTTCGTTCTCTTCCTGCTCCACAGATACTTCTTGATTAGCTTTATTATTGTGATTTTTAAATTTTGCAAGTTGGAAATCTTTTTCCAACCTTCAAATTTCCTGCAAGGTGACTACTTGATAGAGTAGACACAGATTCCTACGTGGGGTACGTCATTGGGTACATGTAGGTACCCCACGCTGTACAGCGCCTCTGGTAGGGAACCAGGCCGGGGCGCCAGTGCCAATGACTGGAACTAAGACAGAAGAGTGGTCTATCCACTTTGGAAGACGGAACTCCCTAGCGAGATCGCCACCCAGTAGAAAGTACCCGGTTGCAAATGCAGGCGGCCCCAAGGTTTCTGGGGGGGCAATACTCCGATTTTAGCCATAGCAGCTAGCCAAGAGAAAGAGATCCAAGAGAGCCAGAAGAATAACACTTTAACAGACGAAAGTGCCTTCGGCAGAGAACCATGGCTTGGCAGTTTACCCCCGAGAGAACGAGCACTCTCGGTACCAAGTCTGGAAAGAACGGAGATGGTCGATCTCACTGAAGAGGAAGATAGCCAAATAGGAAAAAGGAAGAGAATCGAAACCCGCACAGACGGGAAAAAGCATAAAAGAAAAGAAAGGCCGGAATACTCAATACTAAAAGAGGCAATAGATGTAATTACCAAACTCAACACGGCACTAAATAGAAACGTGGAACAAAACACAAGAAGGGAAATCAAAACCATCGCGCAAAAACTCGATAGACAAATCGCAGTACTAAACGGAGCTCACATAAAGACATTGATGAATGAATTCAGATTCGGGAAGACAGAGAACATACCCAACGACTCAACGACGATATTCAAACACGACCTGAAAAGGCGCAAATAAATTACGTCAATACGCTCTGCCCCAGGTGCGAAAACTTTCCAAAGTCAGAAGAGGAGGCTACAGAAACTGGAAACACTAGACCACACCTGGAAAAGACAACTTGCGAACAAGGTACACAGACAGGGGAATTCACGCTACAAGGCTCGGACACATATCAGAAATGGGAAATAGTGGAAAAAGAAAGTTGGCCTGAACACACATTCCAAAATACGGAAGTAATTATAGGAAATCCACTGAACACAGACCTAGGCACCATAAAGGTGGTACTTACAGAAAAAGAAGATCCCAACATGGAGAGAGCCTGTATGGCTCTATATAAGTCGAGATTTCCTGGAATCGAAAACTTCACTGAGGAATATGAAGAACTGGAGCAAACAACAAAGGCCAAAATCAACGGAGAAATGAGCACAACCACACAGAAGGTCATCAAGATCAATACAGGTATCAATGGAGAGGACCTGTGGAAAATGCTGTCGAGGTTGAAAAAATCCAGGCACGCTAGCGATGGCGACAAACCACATAGAGAATATGACACTAAAACAGCTTCAAAAGATGTTTGAAGCCGTCTTCTATGGAACAAACATTAAGATAAGTATATACACCACCAAGAGAAGAAATGAGGAAGAACACTACACATTAACCCCTGGTATCAAAAGACCCGAGCGACAAACATATGCCCTGATTGTGGAAGAAAAAGGCAGGGACATGAAAGACCTGATGAGAGATGTTAAAGACAAAATTACTCAATTGGAAGGCAAAGACAAGATCCTGGGACTCAGAAACACCAAATAAGGCAAACTAATTATCACAATGGAAAAGGACGAAGCATCTGCAAAAAAACTTACCGAGAATATAAAAACCTTATCAAAAAATATAAACACCAGAATGCGCGGCACATCTAAACCGGCTAAAGAGACGATGTACATTCGGGGGATGGATTCCATCACAACACGGGAAGAGGTACTATAGGCAATAGACGACAGAACGGGTATACTAAAAGAGACCGACTATAGACTCGGCGAAATTAGACCCTAGTCAAATGGCACGCAGGCGATCACTTTAACATTAGACAAAGAATTAGCAGAGAAAATAAGCACGGATAAACACATCAGAATAGGAGTGGTCAGATGTAACATCGAGAAAAGACATTACGTAGAAAGATGCCGTAAATGTTGGTCGCATGATCACATTACTGAAAAGTGTCTAGGACCGGATGGGTCAAACTCCTGCTACAGGTGCGGAGGAGAGGGCCACCAGGCAAAGGCCTGCACAGAGGAGGAAAGCTGCCCAGTATGCGAGACAAAGGGCCACAGAGCAAATACGGGGAGGTGTACGGCCTTTAAAAAGTCCCTGAAGATAGTAAGAAATCTGGAAAAACAAGCGAGCAGGAAGGAAGAACGCCCAACCCAAAATGATGCCTAAAATACGTGCAGCACAGTTAAACTATAATAGGTGCCATGCAGCACACGACCTAATGGACAAACTGGCTATAGAGGAAAATCTGGACCTAATCATCGGGTGTGAGCCAAATAAGCGAAGAGCGACAAATCTTCTATGCGACACCGACTGCGACTGTTTCATCCAGGTCCTCACATCCACAGACCTGCCTTTGGGGAAGTCCGTTTCAGGAAAGGGTTAAATCTGCCTAGAGTTGGGAGAGTACGTCGTGATCTCGTGCTACTTCTCACCAAACGGGGAACTAGAGGATTTTGAAAAATTGCTGCAAGAAATGGAAGGGCATGTTCGTGCCGCGGCTTATACAAAGAAGCTGGTAATTGGAGGCGCCCTCAATGCTAAGACCCCGGCAATAGGATCGACAGGCATAAATCAGAGAGGAGGACTTCTGGAGGACTGGATTGGGGCAAACAACCTGATAACTATGAACGAAGAGGGTACGCCAACATTTGTAAGAGGGGATAGCAGCTCGGTGATCGATTTCACGGCTGTGTCGGAAAATTTGGCAAACAGTGTGGCGAATTGGAGAGTCTTGGAGGAAGAGAACATGAGTGACCACCAAACTATTAGATGGGACATAGCCGGAGTGCCTGAAAAAAATACCAAATTGAACGACGAAGTAGCAATGAACACAAAAAGATGGATTTTGAGACCAGACCGATTAGCGGCGATGGCGAGAGATTTCTCCATCGCGGCAATGGACAAGGCCAACATTAACGCTGAGAGCGTCACTGCACTCATGACCAGTACGTGCGAGAAGTTCCTGAAAAGAAAGACCGACCGGAAAAGGCATGGACCCATTGACTGGTGGAGCACAGAAATAGCCGAAAAAAGGAGAAACTGCATGGATATTAGAAATAATTTTGGAAGACGGAACAAGAGACATGATAGAGAGATAGCCGAACGTTTGAGGACAGAACAGAAGGAAGCCAAAAAAGCGCTGAGGGCGGAAATAAAAGGAGCAAGAGGGAGAAATGGAAAAAAAGTCTGCAACGAACTCGATGAGGACGTCTGGGGAAAGGGGTACCAGATAGTCACAAGCAAGCTCAAGCTTAGACCAAATGTGCCACTTGGTAGGGAAATCGTAAAAGAACAGGTTGCAAAACTTTTCCCTTCCCGAAAGGGAAAGCGCCAACATGGGAGGCAGATGCTCTCTCAAGGGCAGAGGTTAAAAAGTGGAATACCAGTGATATAACGGAGGCGGCAAAAGATCTGAAAAACAAGAAAGCCCCGGGAACGGACAATATCCCACCAGAAGTCCTAAAAGCTTGCATAGCGGAAGATACACCACTTTTTCTTAAGCTGTACAACGACTGCCTCTTAGAGGGAGTTTTCACAGAAACCTGGAAAACAGCAAAACTGTGCTTCATAGAGAAACCCAAGAAAAATATCGAAGCACCTCCCGCATATAGACCAATAGGCCTGATCAACACAGGAGGAAAACTCCTTGAGATCCTGATTAAGAGAAGACTAATGGCAGAGATCGAAGAAAAGAACCTAATCAACAAAAACCAGTTTGGATATCAGAAGAGGAAATCAACCATTGATGCAGTAGACACCATCAAAAAATAGTACAAGACATAAATAGGAAAGCGGTCAAGAACAGAGATTTCTGTGTGGTGGAACTCATAGACATTGAGAATGCCTTTAATACGGTACCCTGGAGGGGCATCATAGACACTCTGACTAAAGACGGAGTGAGCAGAGACCTCATCAGGATACTAAAGTCATACCTATCAAAAAGAAATATCATGACCCCAGCAGGCGATATGGTAGAGGTCTCCTGCGGGGTACCGCAGGGCTCCATTATAGATCCAATTCTGTGGAACCTATTCTATGATAAAATCTTGAAACTAAATCTAGACAGAGATTCTGTAACGAACTTACATAATTTTCCGGGTATTTTAATGAGTGCTACCGCGGTTCTAAATTAATTACTTCGACTGGATTAATTCTACATGATAATTTATTTAAATAAAACTCGTGACCTTGTTTGAAACCGTACGATCCAATAGAACCGAACACCGAACGCTTCACGCATTCGTCCCGCATCGCAGGGTCTCGGATTTCCCACTGCGATTCCCACCTTCGATGCCCGACGACCGATTATAAAAGGAGGCGCGCGTCCATAAACGGACTCTTCTTCCTCTGTTTCAGGTACCAGCAGCCCAGACCACCAGCGCCTAGACCACCGACCACCGACCACCGAGGTAAGCGCCGGCTTGGATTTCGCTCCGACGTCGTCAGTGCCGTCGCGACGCTTCAGTAAATCGTACGATCTGGGTGAGTGGGACTACTTTTTATACAGTGATGTACACGGACTGAATGGGGTTTCGGCCCTATTCTGTCTGTGACGGACAATGGGGGTTACGTGCTGGACCGTTTACAGGGTGGCACCCGTTGTCCTTATATCAATGTATATTGAGTATTCCTCACTTCACACAGATCGTTTCTTGTTTCTTTTGTATACTAAGATACGTCATGCACCCCGCACCGATCGCCTAAAAAGGCCAAATCACCGGCACTGACGGCTGAAGGAGCTGGATTTCCCGAGAGTGGACCTGCAGAGCTTTTCTTCCCCGCGTACCGTTACCGTCCCGCGTAACCGTTCCGTATAAGCTTTCGCGTCTACCACCGCATAACCTAAAAGGCACGCTAGTATTCGTTTACACACTCGCTCTCTCTCTCTCTTTTCGTTATTCCGTCAGTTCATTAATTATTATCTTTTAATCATTTTCCATTACGTATTGCATCTATTATTTTTGACGTAATAAACTTAATTTGTTAGTTACCTTTCTGTGTTTTTCATTTTGGGGGAAAATGCGCATATTGACCTCTGGTTTTTCCGTCTCCAACACCGTGGCATACGCGGATGACCTCGCAGTGACTATTAGAGCAAAGGACAAAATAACGCTAGAGGAAAGAGCTCAATCAATGGTAGCGAGGGTTATAAGCAGACTTAAAGATATGGGACTAAAGGTGGCAACAGCTAAGACGGAGATGGTGCTCCTCGCAGGAAGACGTGAGATAAAAGAACTGGATATCATAATCGATACAGAGTTGGTCGAGCCTGCAAGCCCAGTGAGATATCTGGAGGTTTACCTAGACAGAGGCCTTAAAATGACTGAACACAGAAAACATCACAGAAAAAGCCAATAAAATGATTAACTGCCTAAGCCGCATCCTTCCCAAAATCGAAGGTCCCAGACCTGCGAAAAGGAGATTACTGGCAACTACGGTCTACGGTCCAATCGGTTATGCTTTATGCTGCACCCACGTGGGAAAGAGCTATGAGATTTAAGATGTATGCAAAGCTGCTAGAAAGGGTGAACAGGAGGCTGTGCATCGGCATCGCGTCGGCCTACCCGCACGGTACGAACCGAGGCGGTACAACTGATTGCAGAGACGATGCCCATAGATATCTTAGTTAGGGAAAGAGCAGATTCATAGAAGGGGGAGGGAACACAGACAGGAAGCCCGACTAAGGTCAAGAGAAACGTGGAGGTCAAGGTGGCAGATATATCAGGGATGGACCAAATTCTTTATACTCTCGTTTATACCAGACCTGGACAAATGGCTGGATAGAAAGTGGGGAAATATAAATTTCCATATAACACAGGCGATGACTGGATATGGTGTGTTTGATAATTATTTTAAAAAAATCAAGAAGCGGAAGAGCGACGAGTGCTGGTACTGTCCCCAAGAGGACACACCTGAACACACACTGTTCTGGTGCACAAATTTTGAAGACATAAGGAGAGGGATGCCACCGGCACCAAACTATACACTTGGATCAAGGCAAAACGTTGAATAAATTTAATTGATGAAATAATTGTGTCAGTAACTGATCTCGTCTTTTGTGAGTCATTACACTATGTCCAGGAATCCAGCTTAGTTCGACGTTACTGTTCCTGATCTCAGGGAGCTCATCACTATTTTTGATTTCACTATATGTGATTCTACTAGTCTCAGCGCTGCTCTGCTATCCACATATTATATGATGACTTTTCTATCAATAGTCTTCCACCATACTACCGCTCTGTAGCTTATAGGGGGTCTCATTATCGCAGTGTAACCCAATGTATGATGTGCGGTGGCAGTCCCCATTTTTTGCCGAAGAGTTTTCTGCAGGTGTATATTGCATTCAGGTCTTTTTACATTCTTTTTCTCCTCCACGAGAGTTTGGAGTCAGGAACGAGACCTAGATACTTCACTTTTTTTGATAGTTCGAGAGTTTGTCTCTCAACCGTCGGCATTGTAAAATTAGGGATTTTCTATTTTCTTTTGAACAGAACTAGCTTGGTTTTTTGAGGAATTTCTTCCAATCCGTTCTGTCC